GGCAGGCCCAGCAGGGGTAGGGGGAGGTGGCACAGAGGAATGGAAGATGACCCCGAAGCCTGCCCTGGTGGGCATGAGAGAAATGGGGGTGTTCACAGGACATGCAGGTTTTCTGTGTAGCATTTCATGAGTTTGAAGGTATATACCCCTGTGTAACCAACACCCCAGTCAAGGTACAGACCTTTTCTCAAACAGGTATTTGCACACCCATGTTCATTGCAGCATCATTCACTACAGCTAAGAGGAGGAGACAACACGAAATGTCCTTGGATAGATGAATAGATAAACAGTGTGGCACATCCACACAATGGGATATTCACCCTTACAGATGAAGGAAATGTACACACACATGCTATAACACGGATGAACCTTGAAGACGCTAGGCTCAGTGGTGTCAGCCAGACAGAAAAGAACACAGAATGTTTGGTTGTCCTTACATGAGACACATAGGATTGTCAGATTCATGGAGACACAGAGTAGAACAGTGGTTGCCACGGGCTGCTGGAGAAGGAAGCTAGGGTGTAATGAGGACTGCATTTCAGATCAGGAAGATAAAAAAGTGCTGGAGACAGGTGGTGCCATGTTTGAACTGCAGGTAACTGGAACCCCACTGTATGCTGTCCTGAGTCAGGCTCCCTCGTCCAACAGAATGCTTTGAGATTCAGCCTTGTCTGTTTCAAAAGTCCATACTCTTTTGATGGCTGATTAATATTCCATTTTGAGAGCATGCCACAGTGTCTTCATTCATTCTTTTGTTGATGGACGTGGAGTAGTTTCTGGTTCTTGGCTTTTATAAATCAAGTTGCTGTAGACATTCTTTCTCAGGCCTCTTTGTGGACAGGCATTTTGTCTCCCAGGTGCATACATGGGAGCCAGCAGCTCTCTAGGGCAGCTGTACATCCACCTTTAGAGACACTATTGGGTTTCCAAAGCAGCTGCACCATTTTACACACCCACCAGCCAGGTATGTTGCCCATCATCCTTAATGGCATTCAGGGTTGCCATTCCTTTTTATTTCAGCCCTGATGGGTGTGAAGGGCAGTCTCGCGGTGGTTTTATTGTGCGTTTCCTGGATGACTGATGGCGTGGAGCACTTCCTGGTTTTCGCACATCTTGGTGACATGGTGGTTTGCTCCCTTGCTCATTTTTCCTTCCTTCCTTCCTCCCTCCCTCCCTCCCTCCCTCCCTCCCTCTCTTTCTCTTTCTTTCTTTCTTTCTTTTTTTCATAGAGACAGGGTTTTCATGTTGTCCAGGCTGGTCTGGAACTCCTGAGCTCAAGCAGTCCACCCACCTCAGCCTCCCAAAGTGCCGGGATTACAAGTGTGTGCCACTGTGCCCGGCCCCCACCTTGCTCATTTTTATACTGTGACCTCCTTTTTGAGTTGTAGGAGTTCTGTATATTCAAGAAACAAGCCCTCTGTCGTTCTACGTGTTAGGAATATTTTCTCCTAATCCATGGCTTTTCATTTTCTTAGTAGAGACATTTTTAAGCAGCAAGGGATTGATTATAGGGTATTAAGTAGCTTCAGGATGTTTGGAAGGAAGTTTAAAAGGCTGAGCTCTCAGGAACAGCTTCCAGATGTGGACAGCAGAGCTGGCCTGGAGGTAGGGCGGTTACCACACAGCTGCCTCCAGAATCACCCTGCTTCTGTCATAGTCAAGAAGCCTCCCCTGTCTTCTGTGTTTTTAAACATTTTATTCTGACATTATCTTAGATGTAAAAAAGGAATTGCAAAGATAGTACAGCGGGTTCCCATACGCCTTGACCCAGCTTGACCCCCATAACATGAGCCTCTTATGTAACCATAGTAGAATCGTGAAAACTAAGAACTTACAACAATTCAGCACTGGTAACTGAACTATAGACTTTATTAGGAGTGCACCAGTTTCTCCACAAACGTTGGTTTTCTGTTCCAGGATCCATTCCAAGATACCATATGGCATTTAGCCATCATAGTCTCCTCCAATCCATGATCATTTCCCAGATTTTCCTGTTCTTTCAGAATTGACTCAATTAATTTTTAATTATGCCCATGAAGCTCACAAACTTAAAAAAATTACTAACTAGTCCTAATAGTTTTAGATTACTTAGGATTTTTATCATATCTGATCATGCCATTTGTGAAAAAATAATAGTTTTACTTTTTCCTCTCCCATCTTTGTGTCTTTCTTTTTTTTTTTTTTTTTTTCTTGCCTTATTTCGCTGGTTACCATCCCCAGTTAATGTTGAGTAGAAGTGGAAAGAATGGACATTCTTGCCATGTTCCCCATCTTATGGGAAAATCATCCAGGCTCTTGCCATTAAGCATGATGTTAGCTGTAGGTTTTTCATAGATGCCCTTTAGTTCATTGAGGAAGTTCTCTACCAGTCTTCATTTGCTGAGAGTTTTCAAAATGAATGAGTTTTCAAAACGAGTGAGTTGAATTTCACCATGAATGAGTTGAATGCTTTTCCTTTGTCTCTTGAGATGATTGTATAATTTTTCTTTGTACTCTGCTGATGTGACTTACAATTGATTTTCAAATGTTAAAACAATCTTGAGTTCCTGGAGTAAATGCATTTGATCACGATTGTATTATATTTCTTACACATTACGGATTTGATTTGTGAAGGATTTTTGTTTCTCTTCACGAATGATATTGGCCTATAATTTTTTTTGCTCTTTCATTATTCTCCAGGTTTGATGTTGGGTTTATGCTGGACTCATAAAATATGTTGGGAATTGTCACCTCTTCCTCTCTTTTCTGAAAGGATCTGTGTAAAATTGGTCTTACTTATTTCTCAAATATTTGGCAGAATTTACCAGGGAAGCCTTTGGAGCCTGGAGTTTTCTTTTGGGGAGATCTTTAATCATAGATGCAATTTAAACAACAGATATGGAGCTGTTTACATTTTCTATTTATACTGTGTCTATTATAAAGTTTTGTATTTCCAGGAATTTATCCATTTCCTCTATGTTACTGAATCTGTGGCATAATGAGATTCACAATATCTGTTTACTCACCCCTAATATCATGATATAAATGTCTCCTTTTTAAAAAAAAAAAAATCTGATATTAGTATTTCATGTTTCCTATTTGTTTGGGTCTGGATCGGTCATGCTAGATGTTATACTTTTCTTTTTTTTTTTTTTTTTTCTTCTTTTTTTGAGATAGTGTTTTGGTCTGTCACCCAGGCTGCAGCTCCCACCTACCAGGTTCAAGTTATTCTCCTGCCACCGTCTCCCAAGTAGCTGGGATTACAGGCACGCGCCACCACACCCAGCTAATTCTTGTATTTTTAGTAGAGACAGGGTTTCACTATATTGGCCAGGCTGGTCTTGAACTCCTGACCTCAGGTGATCCGCCTGCCTCAGCCTCCCAAAATGCTGGGTAGATATTATGGTTTTCTATTACTACGTAACCAACTACCCCAAAATGTAATCACTTCAGACAACAATAATTTGTTATTTCTCACATTTCCGTAGATGAACTGAGCATCTCTTCTACTGGTTCCATCTGGGTTCACCCACAAGGGTGGGCCCCACTCTGCAGGAGGGTCCATAGGTAGGGCTGGACCGTCCAGGCTGGTCCTACTCACAGGGTTAGCCCTTTTCACTGCCTCTTGTAGCCTGTCATCCTCCTGTGGGTTAGATGTTCTTTCTTACCTGGCGGTCTCAAGAAATAATCCAAAAGGGCAAAGGCAGGAGTCCCAAGGCCAGCTGAGGCCCAGGCTCTGAATACACACAGCGTCACTTCTGCCACATTCTGTTACTTACCAAGGCAAAGTCACAAGGCCAGCCCTCATGTAATAGAGTTGAGAAATGTATGGGAGATGTGGCAGAGTTTCATTGCAAAGGGTCATGCCTTTTTCAAAGGAAGAATCTGGGGCCATGAAACAATTTATCACGTTCCACAATCTGACCACAAATTACTTATTTTCTTCCCACAGACACCGTATTCTTTATCCCGTTCCAGTATGGCTAAAAGTCTTATCCCAATTAGGGGATTTGACTCAAAGTCCATAGTGCCATGATCAACATCAGGTCCATCTGGACATGTACACATGGCTCTTCTGGTGTGATTCTTCTTGATCCAGAAATCTGTGAACTAAAAAGCCATGTTACCCCACAACAGGGCCAGGATGACAACAGTCACCCCCATCTGAAAGGGGAGGAACATGAGGCACAGTGGAGGTCACTGGTTCTTACCAATCCTAAGCTTCAGAAGGGCCCAGGTAGTCAGATCCCCCTACTCTAGAGAAAGAAGATATTCCTTGATTAAGGCACAGTTCTGCTCTAAGGAGCAGTTTCCTTGTCCTTTTTTCTCTCCATTGTTCTCTTGCTCTATTCTCCAAGGATCTTTTCTTTTCCATCAGAAATGGCCCATGTTTGAAGATGAGCATCTTTTCCTGTTTCCAGCCCATAGGAAGCTGGAGGCCCAGAAGTGTCTTTCAATTTTGAATGATATCAGCCCCTTTTAGCGAAAGCTGGTGGTGCTCTTATACGTTTCTTACAAAAATTTTTTGAGTCTCCTATGAATCTTATTGGAGCTTGAGGCTTCTCTATGCATCCACCCCCCCAAGAATAAAAGAAGAAACAACCATAATTCTTTTCAATAGAGACTCCTCTTCACTTTGGATATGTCAGGCTTCTATGAGACAGTACTCCATGGGTTCTTAGGAAGCCCCTCTCCCCTTGTTGAGAGGGTCCCTTCAGTCTTTCTGAGGCCTCAACAAAAGATCCAATGAGCAGACCCTCAAATCAGTCCTTTCTCTGAGGCCATTTCTTCCATTAGGGATATTGTGCTAACTGTTGAAACAGAAAATGAGAAATACTTTTATTTTTCCAGTCCTACGCTTTTCTGTTGCCTCTAAATTCTGCTTGCTAAGTAAATGGATTTTTTGGTTCGTTTTGGTTTGGATTTCCTGTATCTTTTCCTAATTGGCACTTTAAACACTCTACGTAGAAATGTTTTCATCCATATTTACAAATTATTTGGGTACATTTTCTATTTTCCAGGTTACCACTGGCATTGGCCCCGCTGGTGGCTCTGTTCCTGCTTCATTCGGGTTGCTCTTCTCCAGCCTCCCACCGTCCCCTTGTCACGGCTCTCCCAGCACCTCATCAGCACCTTTCCAGCCTCTACCTGATGCCCACTTCGAAAACCAGGCCAAAGTTCAGGTTCGTCTTAGAGCAGCACCCGATTTCCATTTCAGTGATGTGTCACTACATAACAGACCATCACGGTGCTTCAACGGTGATGCCTTGCTATTTCATCCAGTTCTGTGGTTGGCTGGGCAGTTCCTTACTCACGTGGTGCCTTCAGCTGGAGGGTTTGCTGCGTGGGAGGGTCTGGGATGGCCTGGCTCACCTGACCAGGTGCTGCTTGCTGTCGATGGGGACCCCCCAGTTCCCTCCTGTATGGTTGGTTTCCATCCCCCAGGAGTCTTCCTCATGTTCTGGCCTTAGGGCTATGCATCAAGAGGGTGGAGACAGAGGTGTGTTGGCTGGAGCTGGACCCCCGAGCTCACTCAGCATCACTTCTGCCAGTACCTACCATTGGTCAAAGCAAGCCAAAGGGCAGACATCTCCAAGGGAAGGGGATGCAGTCCCCATGACAGTTACAGCAAAGTCACCTGCACAGGGAGTGTGAGAAGACTTTTCGAGATAAACGAGAAGCCATCTACCACACCAGGTGTTGATTAATTTTATGGCTCTTTCTAGGTCCTGGTTGAACCTGGGTGTCCCTATTCTTTGTAGCCACAGCTTCACCTTCTCTGGTTCCATGACACAGAGTGTTCCAACAAGGGACATCACTTCTAAAAGATGCTCTCTCACCTGTACAAGGCTTGGAGTGGTGTAAAATTCTAATATATAATTCTCCAAGGGAACTGCCAAAGCCTTTTCCCTGGGATTTTGTGCCATGGTGCCATCGCAGGGTGGGGTCATTTTGAGAAGCAAGGCATGTGCTTGTCTTGCACAGAGCAGCTGCCCGGGACCAGGGTTCCTGGGGGTCAGCAGGCATCTCACAAGGGTGTCCCACCGCCACTGCCTCCACTGCCTCCACTGTCCTGCTCCCACCACTGACCTCCCTCTCTCCCATTTCCAAGCACCTGCCTCCCTTTCTCCTCCCTGCTTTCTCCCTTCCCTCTTCTTAAGGGAACTCTTGAGAACCTAATCATAGCAGTCTTTCAAAGGATCTGTCCTAGAGTGGGCTGCAGGGCCTGAGGAGGGAGGCCATTTGGAGTGTCCCAGGCCCCCGAGGCCTCAAGGCCATCTGCCTGGCTGCAATGCAGCCCACAGATCACCTGGGCTCATGGAACCAGTCGGGGAGGCCGCCGTCTCCAGGCTCTGTGTCTGTCTCTAGGGTGGCCCACACCCCAGCCTGGCGCTCCTGCAGTACCCACTGGCTCAGTGTGTTCCCGGGGGCTTCTGGTCTTGCTCTCCTCAGGAGGTGGGCACCTTGCCAGCACAGGGCCCCGGGTGTTTCCAAAGGTGGGAGAGAGGCGAAGAGGCAGCATTTGCCTGGGCTTCCCTGGAGCCCGCCTGGCCCATGCAGCACCCAGGGCTCAGCAGGGGACCCCACTCCAAAGCGGAATGAGACACACAGGAGTTTTCTGATGGTTCTTTCATCCCCTCAACTCCTCTTTATTCAAATCGCCTTCAACCTCACTCGGAATGTCCGTCTTCGCCAGATTGGCCCAGTGCCCAGCACCCTTGCACCCACTCAGAGATTCTGGCGGCACTGCTGAGGCAGGAGTTGGTCCTCCCAGCTGTGGGTGAGCTCTGTTGTGAGCTTTAGTGGTTGCTGGGCCCCACAGACCCTACTCGCCCAGAGCAGGGGCTGCCTACATCACGAGTGTGTGAGCCACAGTCATGGCCAGAAAGAGCCCACTCCAGAGAGACATGCAGCCTCTGTCCACCAGGCCCACTGTGGGGCACCTGCAAACACGCAGCCACAGGCTTACCCCTACAGCCCACTGGTTAGGGACATGGCGTGGCTGTGGCTGGAGGGCTGGGGCTGGGGCTGGTCCCTGTGTCCATGGGAGGCAGAGGCAGGTTCCTGCAGCCCAGCCCCACAGTGTCCAAGCTGCAACAAAAGCTTGGCTATTTCTTCAAAAATGTCGATATCAGACAGGACAAAATGCTGTGAGGATGTTCCAGGTAAAAGAAGACTAAAGAGGCACGGCAATTAACTGCAATGGACTGAATCCTGGACTAGAAGAAAAAAAAAAATGTTAGAGAGGAGATTACTAGGATAATTGACAAAATAGGACCGTGAGTGATAAGAGTGCTGTCCGCATTACACGTCCGGAGCTGGTGACCGCACTGAGGCTGCGTCCCTAATGCTTTTCTCTCAGAAAGTGTATGGGGATGAAAAGCCACAGTGTGTTCATCTCCCCCCACAGTGGCTCAGAAAATACACAGATGTAGGTGGAGAAGTCCATGATGACACCATTAACGGTATCAGTAACAAATCTGGGTGCAGGGTCGATGCGTGTTCACAATACTATTGTTTTTCTTGCAGTGTTCCTATAAGCTTGAAATTCTTCCCAAATAAGACTCAATGGTTTTAGTTTTACTAAATGGTTATGTTTTCTGGAGCCCAGACATCCTGCATTGATCCCTGGCAAGCTACCCCATGGGTCCCCGAGACCTGTGGAGTTTCAGGTGGCCATGCCACAGGGCAGCCCCTCCACAGGGGACTCAGAGCCCTGGCCTGGGCGGGCGGCTGCAGAGCTGCCCCAGGACTCAAGACAGGAGAGGGGAAGCAGCCCACAGTGTGTGCACTGAGTGAGGAGCACAGCGTGCAGGGATGTCCGCGGATCTGCGGACTGCTCGAGCTCCTTCCCTGGAAGCCGTGTGTAGACACTAACCTCCTCTTTTTTGTTTTCCTGGCAAGGCGGAGGCAGCTATTGAACAGAGTGGGGCACAGCGCTTCCTTAAGTGTTTGGAACCGGGGCAGCTGAAGACCTGTTGTAACGTTTGGATTGATACTCCTCGTTGGGCCTATCTTCAATTTGGTTTCAGGCACTTTCCAATAAGTGCATGAAGTGCTCTGGGGCTGAGGAGAGGCACTAAAGAAATCAATACGTGTTCATCATCATCGCGGAGTTACGAGGGCCGGCCGTCCCTCGGGTCGGCCCACAGAGGTGCATGCTCGCCCAGGCTGCCCCGCTGGTTTTGTGTTTCCCCGTGGATGGCCGACCAGTCTCAATAATGATCAATATCACTTTATCAATGCATCACTATTAACCAGGGTGCTTTAGCCGTCTCGCTTTCCTGTCTTGGAAGAGTGCCTTCCAGACATTGAGATTTACAGTCCAGGGTTGCATATTCATTTCCTCCCCTCTCTGATGAGGTTCCCAAGCAGGAGGCCCCAGCAACCAGCCCTGCCTTCTAGGAGTTTGCAGTCCTGTAGGGTAAGGGGATGGGGGGTGGGGAGAAGCAGGGGGAGGAGAGGGATCATGAGCATGCCCTGCAATTGCAGAGCTGGTTTTGGGTATGAGATGTTTGTGCCGGCCTTACTCTGGGTATTTTCTGACTTGTTTTGAGGAAGGAGGGTGGTCCCCCTGACCCCAGGAGCTTGAAGAAGCATCCATGAATTCATGCGTGAAAACCAGAGTAATTGTTATACGTGGACAGCACTTGACGGTTTCCAAAGCTCGTGCCTGTGTGGACGTTGTTCATTTTATGGAAACTCACAGTAATCCCAAGAGATGGGCAGAGCAGATGGCAGCTCCCCGCTGTAGAGGAACAGGGGCCTCTGGGCCCCACGGAGCAGCAGGGACTGAGCCAGGCGGGGCTCACTCCTCCTGGCTGGGTCGCCTCCTGCGTCACCCTGGCTCTATTTTCTGGAGTCAGGGGTTGGATGGGGCCACAGTCAGGGAGATGCGCAGCCTGCCAGCAGCTCCAGTTCGTGGGCAGCACGGCCGGGAAAGCAGACAGGCTTCCGTTTCCTTCTGCCCTTTGCCCCAGCGTGGGAGGGCATTCAGGATGGGAGGGTGAGACAGGAGATTTCTGTCCTTGCTCTCTTTCCTTCAAGTCTTCAGAAAGCTCCCCCCATGTTTTCAATAGGGTTTGGTTATGTTTGGTGCACAGACCCCGCTGGCGCTCTTTCCCCAGAGCCCTTCGTGTCCAGCAGTGGGGCGCACCCAGACCTTATCGATCATCGACCCCCTTCGTCCTCCAGCCCCGGGGACCCCACCATCCCACTTCATATTACGAAGAGCCCTCTAAGGAAAATAGGCAAGGCTCACTGCCTGCATCTTTTGGGAGGGGATACCCAGCCCCGAGCGAGCGTGTGGCTTGCCCAAAATTGCCAAGTGCCTCCTGGCTCTCCACTTCCCCGAGCCAGGCCCTGAGAGGTTGCTTCCCAGGGCTCCCTCATGGGACTGTCTGTTTCTGGGCTGAGAAGGCTCGCTCACCTGGGTAGCGGTGCTGCCCTTTGAAGGTGTGTGGAACAGTGCGCGTGGAAGAGCTGCCGTGCTCCAGCAGCTGGCCTGGGCTTCTCCTCCATCTCTCCTGGGGTGGCTAAACCCCTTTCTACTGCCTCTGTCTGTCAACTAAACCCTCAACCCCCACCGGAGCCTCCTCTCACTCTGCTCTGCCACTGCCCTGGTCCATGCCGGGGTCTCCCTTCTGGACCCTGCCCCCTCCACCTGGCACTGGCCATCTGCAGTACCACCCCCTGAGGCCGACGCCCCCACGGGTCTCCAGGAGCACACAGGGTGCATGCTTTCTGTTTAAAATCCACCACTGGCTTCCAACCAAGCCCCATCCTCAGTGGGGGGAACAGGCACCCTAGACATCCCAGTCCCTTCTCCCCATCCCCATCCACATGGCCCCTGTCCCCTAGGGCCTGGAAAGTGTCGCACCAAAGTTCTTCTGAGGGTTGGGAAAGCGGAGAGCTTCCTCCTGGAGGCACCTCAGAATGGACAGTGTTAGGAAGGTCACCGGCAGGGAGCAGGAGCCTGTGTGATTCCAGTAAACACCTCACCAGAAGGCGCTTTATGGAGACAAAGGAAACTTCTCCTGGCCATGATGTGGGCTTTTTCACAAATAAGCCCTGCCCCATAAATAATTGTCCAGATCCTGGTGACAGCAGATGCACCCCACAGCCGCTGCGAGCTGCTCACTTGACCTGTGACCTCTGACTTCGTGTGAGCGAGCGCGGCCCCGGTCTGCGGCTTCGGGAGGACCTGGTTATGGGATGCTATTGACGAGGCATTTATAAATATTTAATTTTCACATTAAAAATATGGGACAGAAGAACCATTAGTTGCCGGCAATAAAAAGGCTCTCTCTGCTGATTGTTGGGGTAAAAGAAGATCAGGGTAGATTTTGATCAGGCTAAATGACAGTACTGTATGTTGAAAAAAATGTAAATAAGTGCTGTTTCCAAGGCAGTCATAGCTCAAACCTGTGGTCAAGGATCTACAACTGGCCTGTCGATTCCACAGAATCTGTGCAAAGTACAGACCATTCATACAAAACAGAATGGATGGTTTATTTACGCCCAGTGCCATTAAGAATGGAGGAGAAAAGTTCAGCCCAGGATAAGAAGCTTAAATCTTGATTTTTTTCCCTTCCCCCTCTCAAAAGAATGGATTCCTTGCATTGTAAATTATCTAACCCTTGTCCTTGGGTTGGCAGCTACTTCAGGCTGGTACGGACATTGCATAATCTTAAATATTGATTCTTGTTAGACCGAAAAAAAAAAAAAAGTCTGAGAGCACCGAGCTCCCCTGTCTGCATGTCCAGGAAATCGCCTTGCCCATAGCTCACTTCTGATGGCCTCTGGCCTCCTGACAGCGAGATCCATTCTGATTAGAAAAGTTCTAGGAGAAAAAGCAATGGTGAGGATCTCCTCTCCATCACAGCAAACACAGGATCGACTTCTGCCTAAGTGTGAGCCCTCGAGTGCCCCTAGAGCTTTCTGGGCAGAGTAAACCCAAAATGATGCAAAGCCCATCATCCCCTCACTCCCTGCAAGGGAGATCCTCCACTTTGGGCGGTGCTTCCTGCCCCATCGAGGCTGCTCCACACTGGGTGATGGGTGCACACCCCTGCCAAGGCTGGAGGGTTCCCCACTGGTGCTCCTTCCCCTTTGTCCCCAAGACAGTATGGGGCAGAGCTGGAAGTGCTGCCGTTGTCTGTCCCAAGAAGTGATGCCTTCATAGGAAGAAACTGGTTTTCCTAAAGCCAAACTCTGTGGTGTGATGTTTACGGCTCTATACCGAGTCCCCCAGGCACCGAGATAATTAAGGCTTGGGTTTTAGGAGAACGAAGAGAATGGTCTGGGTAAATCCATTAGGGTTAAAAAGGAGCCACTTCTCCCTCCCGATGCACAGACCACTTAGCGCTGGTGGAGGAAGACGGCCAACATCACAAAGAGAACCTGTGGCCATTTCCCGGGCTCCCTGTTTGAGAAGGGTGACACCACTTCACTGACTAAATGCGGAAGGAAACCCGAACCATACAGTGTGTCTTCAGTTTGGCAACTTGTGGTACAATTCCATGAAACGCAATTAATTTTTCTAGTCCTCTGTGGCTACAAGTTTCATTATCTATTATCTAACCAGTCAACTTTGGTTACCTGCCAGTAGCATCCATGGGAAGGAGACCTGTTGACTGATTTCTTCAGTTTCATGTTGAAAAGCCCTTCCCCCGAAAACTGTTTCTAGTTACTCCAACTGTCAATTGAATTATGGTGAAAAACCAAGATTGTTTGCAAAACAGAGCTATGTGTTAAAATGGTGCAAGGTGCTTCTCATTTAACGCAGATTCGTTTTCCCACTGGTTTCGTCTTGCTGTGTGTTCTGCAGGTCTCGGAAGAAACCATCACACCGAGGTCATTTCTGAGCACAGCGTGGAAGCTCCTATGTTTGCAGGCAAGTGATTGAAGTTTGTTTGGCTAAAAGAAAGCAACAAACCAGGGTCTCGGACTGTGTGAAGTTGTAATAGCAAAAGCCTTCTCCCAGTGACCATTCGCTGCTGCCCACACTCTGCAGGCCTCCTGCTCAAACCAAAGATGCCTCATTGAATCCCCAACTGTTATTTGAAGCCACTGGGTTGCCAGGGTAGCAAGGGGCCAGTTCCAAAGGGAGCTTCAGAGCCTGGTACAAAACCTAATGGTCTAGCCCAGTGCCCTTCCAGACCCAATGGGCTATTTCTGAAGTTTACCTCAATCTACAGAGAAGGCAAATTACTTTTGGACAGCGTAGCATATCCACATTGTGCAAATCAATGGTTTGTTTTCAGCTGAGCCTTCTCTGTTCTTTAAAGCAGACCCCAAAAACCCCTGCTATGGTCTGAATGTCCATGTCCCCCACACCAGCCCCAAGTTCATATGTTGAAACCCTAACCCCTAAAGTGATGTTGTTAAGAGGTGGGCCCTTTTAGGAGGTGGTTAGGTCGTGAGGGTGGAGCCCTCATGAAGGAGATGGGTGCCCTTATTATGAAAGGCCTCAGAGAGCTGCCTTGGCCCTGCCACCCTGGGAGGGCACAGCAGGAAGGTGCCATCTGCGAACCAGGCAGAGGGCAGACAGCAGATCTGCTGGTGCCTTGATCTTGAACTTCCCGACCTTAGGAACTGTGAGAAATACAATTCTGTTGTTTCCAAGCTACTCAGTCCATGGGATTTTGTGATAGGAGCCCTAACAGCCTAAGACAGCCTCTTCTGGCAAAGGCTGGGGAAGTAGCAGCCACAGGTCTAGATGTCAGAGTGATAGTTCGTATTTATCATCAAAACGTCTTCTTCCCACCATGGCCCTCCCGACAGCCTAGCTCCCGTCCCCACCCTGATGAGTCTAAATGCATGAACTTCTGCCAGACAAAGAGTTCTGATTAGGGGCTGGCCTTTTGCTGCTACTTTCTTATTTCTCAGCCTTAAACAACGAAATCAGCATTCCTCCTAGGGTTCATGCCTCCCCTTTTATCTCTGTGATCTGCCTCCTCCTCAACCTGCCAGCCCTGGAGCCACAGCAGGGGTGCCTCAGTCTCTCATTAACCAGGTTTCCCTCCCATCTCCGCTATTCCTAAAGGTACCATTCAGTGGCCTCTAATGCTCAGACTATCCCTGAGCTTTTATAAAGAAGAAAAATCTTATCAGCAGCTTTCCAGTGTTTTTGAGAACTATTTGTGTTTTTTGAGATATATTTTCTATTTTTATTCCTTATCTCTGTCTCCTCATCTTTTAGCTCCTCCAGCGACCCTGGCGGGAGGCCGGCCATTGCTAATGATTTACAGTACCTGGGCTTCATCAGTTGCTCCATAACTTCCTCGTTAGAAACTTATTTTTGTCAAGGAGACGCTTTAGCTGCCCATAAAAACTGCCTTTGGAATCGAAATTCCTCTGAAACTCACACAAACGCTTCATTAAATTTCTTTGCTTCTATGTCTCTTAGTTTCCCCGCATGGGTCAGACCTCTGTAGGAGATCGTCTAAAGCCACCCAGGGGGCCCAGAGAGGTAGCTCAGGGCCCTCCAGCACCTGCCACGAGCACGGCACTTTACAGTTTACAAGGCTCTCCTTGCTCTTGGCAGCAGCCCTCCAGGGGCAGGCGGTGATGTCCTCATCTTAGATGAGAAGTCTCCGAGTCGGCATTTCCTAAGGTCTCTCTGCTCTTCTGAGGGCGACTGGACTCTGACCCGGTCCTGAGTCCTCTGCGGTCCATGAGGCAGCTGTCCTGGCTCTTCAGAGGGGATGGACCTGGAGCCAGTCACTTGGAGGAGCCAGGCAGGAGGGGCTGCAGGGACTGAACAGCCTGGTTGCCCGAGAGACCCAGGGCAGAGGGCGGTTCTGGCAGGTCTTTCTCTTTTCCGAAGCCCTGGGCAGCCCTCTAAAGCGTGGCTCACTGCACCCCCAGACATCTTCCTGCCACATGGAGGGGTCCCTGGAGGCAGGGCTGACCGACGCATCTTTGAAGCTTCCCCCCTCACCCACATTGATGGGAGAGGCCTGAGCGTTGCTGCCGGCTCACCCTGTTTTGAATGATGGTTACGTCCACCCTGCATCTCCCAGGAAGCCAGCACCCCCTCCCCTCTTTGGTGGGCAGCCCCTCTGTTATGCTCAGAGCCCTGCTCCTGCCCACTCCCTGACGCTGAGTGGTCAGGATGAGTCTTTCCCACAGGCATTACCACCCTGTGGGGTCCTGTGCCTGCCACTGCCACTGCCTCCCCAAGGCCACCACAGCCAGCATCCCCACCCGCCTGCTGGGCCAGCCGGGACAGGACCCAGCCATGCAGGAGACGGCCTCTTCCCTGGCAGCTTGTGAGCCCCCTGGGGCTGGAATCCTCCTGTGTCCCCGAGAGGCCTCTGTGCACCAGCACAGCCTAGAAAGGTCCAGCCTTGTGGGGGTTCTACTGCACCCGTGCCTGGAGCCCGGGCATCCCTGGGTGGTGGACTTGCAGGCCCTGAGCGCTCTGGTCACTGCTGCCCACACCCACTGCATGGCCAGGAGAGGCTGGAGAGGCTGGGTCAGTGTGGCCACCAGGGCCACTGGATTCCTTGAGGCACCTCCCTCAGGCTGTCCCCGCTCCACTGGACAGGACCAGGCTGGTACCTGGCCAGGAAGGACTCATTGTGACGGCCTTGCCCCGGCATCTGCCATCTCCACACTCTGTAGCCTGAGTCCCACCCTGCCTACACCCTGTCAGCCTTGGCCCCACGCAGAAGCAGCCGCTTTGATGTTAGAAGGTAGATTCTGATGCCTGGGCCTTGGCTTCGCCTGGGGCACCATTGGGACCCACGCTTGTCAGGGTGGAGCAGCTTTTCCAAAAACTGGCACTGGACAGAGGCAATGAGGCCACCACTCGAGGGCAAAGCCGGAGAAGTGTCCGTTGTGTGCCTGAGCCCAGTGGCCCTGGAAGGCCCAGGACATTTTGTCCACTGGCACTCAGGGCTGCCTGCACAGGCCCCAGCTTGGGGATTTGGAATATCCTTGGCTGCAGGAGAATGTGGACACCATTGTTCACTCCATTTTTCCCAGAAGCGTGGGCAGCAGAGCAAGTAGTGGGCTTAGGTCCAAGCAAGAACAGGAGTGTTTGCCTCCCCTGGTTGGCAGGGCCTTCCCCTGGCTCACAGGGCTAGCTGGGAGTGGGCGAGCAGCTTAGGTTTGGGCCAAAACCCACTGTGCTCTCCACCCTGCTCCTGTGTTGAAGGAAGGGTTACCTTTTCTTTCCACAAGTGTTTACGTGCTGTGTTTACTTTGGGGGAGAGAAAATCAGCAGCACCCTATAAGATCACCCTATGAGGTGAACACTGAAGGTGCAAGTTCTTTTCCAGCCAGCAAACAAGGCAAACATCTAGCACGTGGAAGGAGCAGTATTACCCAGGTAGGAAGCTCCGTGCATGGAGGGGCCCAACGAGGCTCCCTGGGATTTATTCTGGGGCCTGTTAGTGATGAGACGCTGCTTGCTGGGCCTCAGCCCGGTACTGCAGTGTTCTTGGTTTTTTCTTGTGATCTGTGTCTTCTCTACATATTGACAAGCTCTTTTCCGATGTATACATTGTGAACATTTTATCCTAGTCTGTGGCGTGTCTTTGTTTTAATTAAAAAAAAAAATTTTTTGTGTTAATACGGTCTCTCACTGTTGCCCAGGCTAGAGTGCAGTGGTGCAGTCTGGCTCACTGCATCCTTGACCTCTGGGCTCAAGCAATCCTCCCACCTCACCCTCCCAAGTAGCTGGGACCACAGGCATGCACCATCACACCCTGCTATTTTTTGTATTTTTTGTAGAGATGGGTTTTCTCCATGTTGACCAGGATGGTCTCAAACTCCTGGCCTCAAGCTATTCGTCTGCCTTGGCCTCCCAAAGTGCTGGAATTATGGGCATGAGTCACTGCACCCTGCCGTAGTGTGTCTTTGTATTTTCTTTATGGTGTCCTTTGATGAGCAGAATTTTTAAGTTTTTATGAAGTCCAGTTTATCAGTTTTTTTTCATTGTTAGCGCTTTTTATGTCCTGCTTAAGAAATCTTTGCCTATCCCAAGTCTATAGAGATAGTTTCCTGTGTGTTTTAGAGATAGCTTCCTGTGCGTTTTTTCCAGAAGTTGTATAGTTTTAACTTTTCTGTTTGGGCCAATTATACATCTCAAAGTAATTTTTTCATATGGTGAGATATGAAAAAATCTCACCTCTTGGGAGGCCGAGGTGGGCGGATCACAAGGTCAGGAGATCAAGACCATCCTGGCCAACACAGTGAAACCCTGTCTCTACTAAAAATACAAAAAATTAGCCAGGCGAGGTGGCGGGCACCTGTAGTCCCAGCTACTTGGGAGGCTGAGGCAGGAGGATGGCGTGAACCTGGGAGGCGGAGCTTGTAGTGAGCCCAGATTGCACCACTGTACTCCAGCCTGGGCAACAGAGCGAGACTCCGTCTCAAAAAAATAAATAAAAATAGAAAATATTTTCTTTTTCCATTGAATTCCATTGGTGCCCTGTCAAAAATCAGATGACTTTATATATGTGAGTCCTTTTCTGGACTCCTTATTCTGTTCCAGTGATCTGTCTCTCCAGCCTTCTACCAGTACCACATTGTCTTAATTATTGTTGCTTTTTAACAGACACAGGATCCTTGGGATTTTCCATTTCATCATGTGTCTGTTTTGGCAAGTTGTGTTTTACAAAGAATTTGTTCATTTTTTTTCTGTGTTGTCAAACTTCTTAGCCTGTTTATTTTCACAATGTCCTCTTACTATCCTTTTAATGTTCATCAGGTCTATAGCGGTGTTCCCTTTTCAGCTTTCCTGATCAGTCTTACTGGAGATTTATCAATTTTGTTGATCTTTTCAAAGAACCGGCTTTTGGCTTTTGATCCCTTCAGTGAAATTTCCACACTGACGGTCACTATGACCTTGGCTCTGCTAATCCCCCAATCCACATGAGGATGGGTGGACTTAAGTGACCTCTAAGGACCCTCATTACTCAGACAGTCCCTGGCTCTGTGAATCTGTATCTTCCTTGCTCCCAGTTAAGGTCAGGATTAGGACTTGGAGGGTGACAGGTCTGTATCAACTACAGAAGGAAATTCCAGCTGCAGGCCTGCGAGAGGAGATGCCCCACGCCTGCCTCCTGACATCACTCTGCTCTTGTGGCCATGTTGGCGTCTCTGTGGCCCCAGGACCTTAGCACATGCTGTTCTTGCTGTGTTTGCAAGACTCGTCCCCCACCCCAACTTTGCTTCATTAATTTCTAATCAGTTTCCAGAATAAACCAACTCAGGATTTCTGGAAGAAAGCCTTCCTATTTCTCAAACCCCCTCATTCCTGCTGCTGGCCGAGACCAAGGAAGACCCTCCCAATTCTGTGTTCTCAAAGCACTGAATAGGTTTCCTGCAAAGCACCTACTGCAATTGCTTTTAAATTGTTATGTAATAAATGAAGAGACTTAATATGTATCTGAATGGAGCAACTCTATTTCATCAACAGCCCCCATGTTATAAAACCGTGTACAGCATCAAACTGATTCTGAAATTAGGCTGAGTGCAGTGGCTCATGCCTGTAATTCCAACACTTTGGGAGGCCAAGGTGGGAGGATTGCTTGAGCCCAGAAGTTTGAGCCCAGCCTGGGCAACACGGGGAGACTCCATCTCTACAAAAAAAATTAAAAATGAGCCCAGGGTGGTGGCACACACCTATTGTCCCAACTACTCGGGAGACTGAGGTGGGAGGATCACTTGAACCCAGGCTCTCAAAGTTTCATTGAGCCATGATCACGCCAGTGTACTCAGTCTGTGAAACAAAGCAAGAGCCTCATCTCAAAAAAAAAAAAAAAAAAAAGTTACATGGAAGAGTAAATGAACAGAAATAGCTGAGAATCTATTAAGATTCTTAGAGGAAGTTTGCTCTTCTGGGAATTAACATTTTTTTAAACTACAAGAATTAACAATAGGTGGAGTCTAGGCAGGAATACTCTAAAAGGTCAGTAGAAGGGAATTTAAAAATAAGAATTTAGAAATGAATCATGTGATCTTTAAAATCAGTAGAAAAGATGAGCTGACAACTCAATATATGGTTTGGGGATACTTTGTTCCCCATTTGGAAAAAAATAAAATTAAATTTCTCCTTGTATAAAACATAAAATTAAACCCTAGAGAGATTAAAGAACTATAGGCTAAAACTATGAAAACCATCAAATTACTAAGATAAAGTGTAAGATAATTTTGTGTTTTAATCTTAGGATGGAGAATGTCATTCTAAACAAAGAACTAGAAGCCGTAAAAGATTGACTTACAGATGGCTGGGGAGGGGTGGGGCCTTTGCACAGGGAGAGAAGCCCAAAGTGAAGTCATCGGCGGAGAGAAGATATTTGCAACATATAAACAAGGAGGCCACCACCATCAAATACAAAGAGCTCTTGCAAATTAACAAGCAAAAGACAACCCCATAAAAAATGGGCAAATGATGTCAACAGGCAGTTCACAGAAGAAATATAAAAGCTACATACATGTGTGAGAATATGCTAAAATGTATTAGGAATTAGCAAATGTGAATTAAAACAGTAAGATTTTATTATCACCAATCAGATTAGCAAAAAGTTGGACTGCAAGTATTCTCACTAGAATGTTTGTCCTACAAGAACAGTAAATGTTTGTTTTATTCTTGGCTAAATTCCCAACACCCAGAACAGTGCTTGGCACCTAAGAGGCACTCAGTAAATATATTTTTATTTATTTAACTTTGCCAAAAGATATATGACATTTACAACTTTTTTGAGACAAGGTCTTCCTTTGTCATCCAGGCTGGAGTGAAGCGCTGCAATCACAGCTCACTGCTGCCTCAACCTCCCGGGCTCAAGCGATCCTCCCATCTCAGCCTCCCGAGTAGCTGGGCCCACAGGCATGCACCGCCATGCCCAGCAAGTCTTGTCTTTTCTGTAGAGGCAGAGTCTCCCTGTGTTGCTCAGGTTGGTCTTGAACTCCTGGGCTCAAGTGATCCTCCTGCCTTAGTCTCCCGAAGTGCTAAGATTATAAGGCATGAGCCACCATGCCCAGCCATTTATAATTTTAATCATATTTTAGGTGTCCAGGTCACAGGCATGGAAGTACATTTACACTATTGTGTAATCATCACCTCTATGAATCTCTAGAACTCATTTCATCTTGCAAACTGAAACTCTTCCCCTTTAAACAATAACTCTCCATCCTCCCCTCCCCAGCCCCTGGCAGCCCTCATTCTACTTTCCGTCTCTATGAATTTGACCACTCTAGATACCTCATATAAGCAGACTTAGACATATTTATCCTTTTGACAATAAATACTTTTAAATGAAGGAATGAATGTATTTAGTACAGGTGAAGGTGGGGTGAAATAGGGATTTTCTTACATGTTGGCGAATAAGAACATTTGACCGCACCTGTCCAAATTTAAAGTATACATTTAACAAATAAGCCAAAAACCCCACTTCAGGGGCTCTTTCCTGAAGAAACACTGATTAATGCACAAATATACAAGTGCAAGGGTGTTCTCTATAGCACTTTTTAAATATAAACTTTTTATTGAAGTAGGAACTAGGTACTGCGACATTCAAGAACCGTAGGCATCCAGCCCCATACAATTCACAAGGTGAACCTACCTGAATCCTGATCTGGAGTTCAGCAGGCTCCCTCTGACCTCCTCCTAGCCACTATCACCCTACTTGGGTAAGTTCAACTCTGCCTTTTCACACCATTGATGAGTTTTGCCTATTTTTAACTTGATATAAAGGGAAATCATATAGTGTACTCTCTTTCGTGTCTGACTTTTTTTCGTTGACATTATGTTTGTGAGATTCATTTCATATCAATGCATATAATGATAGCAAATGTATTCTCATTATTTTGTACAATATTCATATCGTATGAATATGACACAATTTTATTTAGACATTTTGCTACCCGTGACCATGTTCGCCATGTTTCCGGTTGTTGACTTTTAAAACTACTGCTGCCATTAACTTTGTTGTGCATGTACTTTAGTGAATATATGTACTCATTTCAATTGGTTGTATACCTAGTGGTGAGATTGCCAAGTCATAATGTTCAGCTTTGGTAGAAGCTACAAAAGAGTTTTCTCAAGTGCTTCTACCAATTTACATTCCCACCAGCAACATGTGAGACTTCCAGTGGACCCAAATCGTTGCCAAAACATGACATTGTTTGACGTTCTCAGATTAGTCATTCTGGTGGAGATACAGTGGTATCACTTTATCTTTTAATTTTAATTTTCCTGATGGTTAATGAAGTTTAACATCTTTAAGATATGAATTTACTATTTGGATATATGATTTTCTTTATGTTTCTTGTTCAGGTTTGTATCCATTTTTCTGTGAGACTGTCTGCTTTTTTCTAAAGATATACAGGGGTTCTTTATATTCCGATATGAATTCTTTGTGAGATATATATCTTGCAAGTGTCTTTCCCCACTCTGTGGCTTGTCTTTTCATTTTCTTTTTTTTTTTTTTTTTTTTTTTTGAGACGGAGTCTCGCTCTGTCGCCCAGGCTGGAGTGCAGTGGCCGGATCTCAGCTCACTGCAAGCTCCACCTCCTGGGTTTACGCCATTCTCCTGCCTCAGCCTCCCGAGTAGCTGGGACTACAGGCACTCGCCATCTCGCCTGGCTGGTTTTTTGTATTTTTTAGTAGAGACGGGGTTTCACCGTGTTAGCCAGGATGGTCTCGATCTCCTGACCTCGTGATCCGCCCGTCTTGGCCTCCCGAAGTGCTGGGATTACAGGCTTGAGCCACCGCACCCGGCCGTCTTTTCATTTTCTTAATGTATCATTTTGAAGAACAGCATTTCTTGATTTTAATGTAGTCCAATCTATCCATTTATTTTATGGTTAAAGTTTTTTGTTTTCTGTTTAGTGTATCTTTGCCCATCACAAGGTCACAAAGATATTCTCCCATGTTTTCTTCTAAAAACTTTGTTGTTTTATCTTTCACGTGCAGCTAGAAATCCATCTAGACTTGCTTTTTTATATGGTGTAAGGCAGGGGTTAGTTTTATTTTTTTCAAGAGATAAAGCCGATTGACTCAGCACCATTTGTTGACCCAGTCTCATTTTGTCATATGTGTGGATCTGTTTCTGGACTCTCACCCATTTTAGTAAACTTTCAGGCTATCTTTGCACCAATAATATGTTGTTTTAATTAGGACAGCTTTAAAATAAGCCTTGCTGGGTGATGGTCTAAGTTTTCCAGTTTTATTCTTATTGAAGACTATGTTGCTATCCTTAGCCCTTTGCATGTCCCTATAAATTTCAGAATCAGCTCATCAAACTAAACCTGCTAACATTTTTATTAACATTGTGTTTAATCTGCAGATCAATTTGGGGTAAATTTAGGTATTTACAATAATGAGTTTTCTAATCCATTGACATGGTATATCTCTCCAACTACTTAGATTGTTAAAATGTTTTTCTCAGTTATGTTTTGTGGTTTTCACTGTACCAATTTTAAATAAATAAATTCCATTTATTTCTGGATATTTGATGTTTTGTTGCCATTGTGGGGGTTTTTTTTTTTTTTTTTTTTTTTTTTTTTTTTTGAGATGGAGTCTCACTCTATCGCCCAGGCTGGAGTGCAATGGTGCGATCTCAGCTCACTGCAAGCTCTGCCTCCCGGGTTCACACCATTCTCCTGCCTCAGCCTCCCAAGTAGCTGGGACTACAGGCACCCGCCACCACGCCTGGCTAATTTTTTGTATTTTTAGTAGAGACAGGGCTTCACTGTGTTAGCTAGGATGGTCTCAATCTCCTGACCTCAGGTGATCTGCCTGCCTCGGTCTCCCAAAGTGTTGGGATTATAGGCATGAGCCACCGCACCCAGCCTGTGGGGGTATCTTTTTTAATGGTATCTTTAAATTTTTTCATTTTCTACTTATTTGTTACTATAACACATTTTAATAGCAAAGAGTATGAAATTTTCAAGAGGGGACTGGTTCCATAAATGTGGTTTCATATGTAACAACAGATTATTCTACAGCCACGAAAAAGGATGGGTGGATCCACATGTACTGACAGGGAACTTCATTAAATGGTGTAAGTGCTAAAGAGTAAGTGCTAATGGGGGAAGGATGATGAGAGTAATATAAAAGTTATTGTATGATCCATCTCATGGTTTTACAACTATATGTAGATGTCTGTCTGTAATGTCCTTCAAACAAGGTCCAGAAAGATTGACAGCCCACTGGTAATAGTGCATCTGCCTGCAAGCTGAAGGGGTTTAGGCAGAGTTGGGATAAGGAGGATTAACCTTTATCTTCAAATACATGTTCATGATTTTTATTTGGGAAATAAGCCTGGATTACAAGAAAGTAAAAAAAAGGGGTGGGGGGATTATTACGTGTTTAATGCCTGTCTTTCTTCTGGCTCAGGACCTGGCCTACCACAAGGTCTTCACAAATACTCAGGATGGAGCTGGCATTGAATGACCCACTTGGCCTGCACAGAGGCTGTCAGGCCTAAGTCTGGAGCTCTTTTTATGTAGTTCTATTACTTTAATGAATGTGTATTATAAACTAACACAAGAACTATGCACTGTGGAGCAAAACCATGCTAGGTAATGAAAGAATTGGTTTATTAATGGGCCACTGTAGTGTGATATTGAGCCGTGTGCCTCGAGCACAGAAGCAGATGCCTTGGTCCAGGGTCCTGCTTCTGTTATGTGCGTGGACCCGTGAATCAGGCTGGTGAAGCCTGCATACCCCTTCCCCAGGACAATGTTTTCATTGTCCACAAAATAAAATACATACAATCACAGAAAAAAATTAATTATATTGAATAGTTAGCAAAACATTAAAAATAAAATTTGAGATATAATTGTATATGTGCTTCTTCATTATTCATGCATTAAACAAAATCTAGGAACAGTTGAGCTAATTATTACCAGAATCTCCAAGTCACGACAACCATAAACAATCTGATACTGCTAAAATGACTGTGGCTTCTTGCCTATACTCATAAGGAAATGTTGAATTTTATAGCTATTAGTGAAAATAAAGTTAAATTTTTGTTTTTCATTCAAGTTTATGGACCCTAGGTTAAGAACCCTTGCCTTGGTTGAAGACACAGTAAGGAACACTGTTTCCCTGAAAATTTGGTTTGCACAAGCTGGGGTTCTGGGGATGCAGCATAATCCAAGCAGACCAGCCCCTCTCCTCAGGAGGCTTCCCTTCTCATGGGGAGACAGTGCAGAAGTTAATTAAGTAAAGCCTAAACTTCATTAAATGGTGTAAGTGCTAAGGAGAAAAATAAAATGAAAGGGAGAGGGAAAGGTATATGTGTGGTGTTTGGGGTGGGGGTTAGTTTTAGGCAGGCAGGGCTGCCTCCCTGGGCCAGGGGTGAGACATGAGTTGGGGAGCACAGCAGGTGTTTTTGCAGAAGAGAGCTCCAGGGAGAGGGAACAGCAAGCGCAGGGCCTCAAGCAGGAGCTTCTGCAGCAGCAGAGGGGGGAGGTGTGGCAGGGTGGTGGCTGACCCTCAGTGTCCTTGTGGCCCTTGGAAGGTCTGTGGAGGGGGTACAAGGGTGGTATTCCTTTCATTTTAAGGGCCCCTCTGGCTATGGTGTCAAGGCACAGAGAGATAGTGCTGCAGGGCAAGGGCAGGAGTGAGGGGACCAGTTAGGAGGCTGCAACCATCCGCCAGGGACGCACTGATGTGGCTTAGAGCAGGGTGGCAGGGGTAGCATCTGCTGAGACTCCTGAAATCCGACTGAAAGAGACAACAAGTTTTAAAGAAATGTAAGAAAAGAACTATGTTAAAAATAGTGGAGCTGAGTCTTCTGAAATGTTTAGAAAATAATGAAACTGCTTTTTAAAAAGCCATCTGGAAGGATTTTACTTTTCCTTCATGTCATTTGGAAATGACCTTGGAGGAGAAGCCCTGTGTATGTGTGTTCCACAGAGGACCAAGAGTGGCCTCCAAAGAGCAGTGGCAGAGTCCAGGCCGGGGAGGGAGCAGGCTCTCCCACCTGGCGCCATGTGGGGCCAAGACCTTGTGGGGAGTGTGGAGCTGCCTTGGTCTCACCCCAGGCAAGAACTAGGAGCCATGATCTCCACTTTGGTGGCCTGGAGATAAGGGGTCAATAGGGGCCTGCAAGACCACCTTCCCCCTCCAAGGTGTGTGGACACCAAGCAGCCCCTCCTGGGGAGCAGGTGGTGGTGGGGTCTTGGCCATCTTAGGACAAAGACTCAGGAGGGCCCTGGGATCCCATGTGCCAGCCGGCAGCATGAGTCCTGGCCATGTGCTCCAGGAAAGATGGTTTCCCCAGAACACCAAAACACTTAAGAGTAATTCTTCATGAAAAATAATGTTCATTTTTTATGCTCTGATAAAACCACAGGGCTTTTTAATTTTTTATAACAGACTTTTCAAGAAATAATTCACATACTATACAGTGCACTCACTTAAAGTGTACAATTCAATGGTTTTTTTAACATATTCACTGAAAGGTGCAACTACTACCACAGTCAATTTTAGAACATTTTTATCACCTCGGGAAGAAACCCATACATACCCCTTGGCTGACACCCCCATCACTCCATGTCCCCCAGCCCTAAGTCAACTACTCCTCTACTTTCTGTGTACGTAGATTTATCTATTCGGGACATGACACAAATGAAAACCTATAATATGAGTTTCTTGGTTATTGACTTCTTTCATTCAGCATAACGTTTTTAAGATTCATCCATGTGGTAGCATGTT